GAAAAAGAAGAACAAAGTAAAAACAAAGCAAACAGAAGGAAGAATATTATACAGATTAGAACAGAGATCAGTGAAATAGAGGACAGGAAATTAATAAAGAGGGTGGTTGAACCCAAAAGCTGGTTCTTTGAAAAAATCAACAAAATTGAAAATCTTTTAGCCAGACTGACCAAGAAAGAAAGAAACAAGACTCAAATTGCTAAATTTAGGGTTGAAAGTGGTGACATTACTACAAACATTACAGAAATACAAAGGATTATAAGAGACTACTATGAACAATTGTATGGCAACAAACTAGATGAAATTAGAAAATTACTAGAAACACACAAACTACCAAAACCAACTCAGGAAGAAATAGAAAATATGAACATACCTATAACAAATAAAGACATTTAATCAGTAAGCAAAACTTGCCAACAAAGGAATCCCAGGACCAGCTGGCTTCACTGGTGAATTTTAATAAATATATAAAGAAGGACTAAAATCAATTATTCTCAACTTTTTAAAAAAGTGAAAGAGGAGGGAACATTTCCTAACTCATTCTCTGAGGCCAATATCACCCTGATAGTAAAGCCAGACAAAGACATCACAAGAAGAGAAAAATACAGACCAATATCCCTTATGAGTATAGATGCAAAGTCCTCAACAAAATACTAGCAAACTGAATATAGCTGCATATTAAAAGGATTACATACTATGACTAAGTGAAATTTATCCCAGGAATGCAAGGATGGTTTGACATATAAAAATCAATCAATATAATATACCGTATTAATAGAATAAAGGAAAAAACCCCACATGATTATCTTAATAGATGCAGAAAAAGCATTTCACAAAATCTAACACACTTTCATGATGAGAACACTCAACAAACTAGGAATAGAAGAAAACTTGCTCAACCTGATAAAGGGCTTCCATGAAAACCCACAGCTGATATTTTACTTAATGGAATTAGACTGAAAGTTTCCCCTCGAACATCAAGAAGAAGATAAGGAAGTCTCTTCTTACCACTTCTATTCAACCTTGAACTAGAAGATCCAGCCAGATCAATTAGACAAGAAAAAAAATTAAAATCAGTCTAAACTGTAAAGAAAGAAGCAAAACTATCTATTCATAGATGACATGATCTTATATATAGGAAATCCTAAAGAATTCACAAAATGAGTTTTAGGGCTAACAAGCAAATTTATCAAAGCTTCAGGACACAAAATCACTATACAAAAATGAATTGTATTTCTCCACACTAGCAATGAATGATCCAAAAGTGAAGTTAAGAAAACAACTCCATATAGAATAGTATTAAAAATAATGAAATACTCAGCAATAAATATAACCAAGGAGCTATGAGACTTGTACACTGAAAACTGCAAAGCATTGTTGGAAGAAATTCAAGAATAAGTGGGAAAACATCAAGTGTTTATAGATTGGAAGACTTAATATTGTTAAGATGGCAGTACTCCTGAAATTCAATGCAATCTCTATCAAAATGCCAACTTCCTTTTTTGCAAAAATGGACAAACTGATCCTAAAATTCATATGGAATTTCAAGGGACCAAAAATAGACAAAATAATCTTGAAAAAAAGGAATAAAGTCAGAAGATTCACACTTTTAGATTTCAAAACTCAGTCCCTACAAAACAATGCCAATCAAGAGGGTGTAATACTGGCGCGAGGATAGACGTATAGATCAATGGAATAGAATTGAGATCCAGAAATAAACCTATTTATCTATGGTCAGTTGATTTCAATAAGGCTGTCAAGACCATTTGATGTGGAAAGAATAGGCTTTTCAACAAATGGTGCAGGAATCATGGATAACACATACAAAAGAATGAAGTTGGACCCTACCCTCATATTATATACAACAATTATCTCATAGTGGATCAAAGATCTAAATGTAAGAGCTAAAACTGCCAACTTGTTGGAAGAAAACATAAAGGTGTGAATTTCCATTACCTCAGATTTGGCAATGGATTCTTAGACTTAACATGAAAAGCATAATGAAAAAAGAAAAAAATAGATAAAATGGACTTCATCAAAATTAAAAATTATTGTGCATCAAAGGGCAATACAAAGAAACTGAAAAGACAACTCAAATATTGGGAAAAAAAATCTGCAAATCATATATCTGACAAGGGCCTATTATTCAGAATATATAAAAGACTCTTACAACTCAACAACAAAAAACACAAACAATTCAAAATGGGTAAAGGATTGATTGGACATTTTTCGAAAGAAGACATACAAATGGTTAATAAGGACGTGAAAAGATGATCAATATTATTAGCTATCAAGGAAATGCAAATCAAAACCACAATGAGATACCACTTCACACCCACTAGGGTGGCTATAATAAAAGAACAAAAAACAAAAAAAAATGGAAAATAACAAGTGTTATCGAGAATGTGGAGAGACTAGAACCCTCATATACCGCTGGTGTGAATGTAAAATGGTGCACCTGTTGTGGAAAACAGTTTGGCTGTTCCTCAAAAAGTTAAACATAGGGCCAGCCCCGGGGGCCTAGTGGTTAAGTTCTACACCCTCTGCTTCAGTGTCCTGGGTTCGTTTCCCAGGCGTAAACCTACACCACTTGTCTCTCAGTGGCCATGCTGTGGTGGTGTCTCACATACAAAAAGAGGAAGATTGGCAACAGGTGTTAGCTCAGGTTCAATCTTCCTTAGCAAAACGGGGAAGATTAGCAATAGATGTTAGCTCAACAGGAATCTTCTTCAGCAAAAAAACAAAACAAAGAGAATTACCATATAACCCAGCAATTCCACTCCTAGGGATATACTCAAGATAAGTGAAAACAGATGGTCAAAAAAACTTCTACATGGATGTTCACAGCAGCCTTATTCAGAGTAGCCAAAAAGTAGTAACAACACAAAGGTCCATCAACTGATGAATGGATAAACAAAATGTAGTATCTACATACAGTGGATTATTATTTTGTCATAAAAAGAAATGAAATATTGATACATGCTACAATATGGATGAACCATGAAAACATATGCAAAGTGAAAGAAGCCAGCTACAAAAGGCTGCGTTTGTACAAAACTACTTTCTGTGTCTCTGGATTTGCCTGTGGTTTTCAGGGGCTGGGGGAGGGGCAAGTGATGAGTGACTGCTTACTGGGTCTGGGGTTTCTGTTTGGAGTGCTGAAAATGTTCTGGACCTAGATAGTGGTAGTGGTTGCACAATATTCTGAACGTACTATAATCTATTGATTTACACACTTTGAAATGGTTAAAATTGTACATTATGTGTATTTTACCTGAAAAACAATGCTATTAAGAAAATGAAAAGGCAAGCCACAGACTAGAAGAAAATATTCACAATTATCTGACGAAAACATTATATCTAGAGAAAAAGAACTCTTACAGGTCAATAATGAAAAAAATAAACAATCTAATTACAAATAGGTAAAAGGCTTGAAAAGACACTTCACAAAAAATATATATGAAAGCCAAAAGCACTTGGAAAGGTGCTCAATATTGTTAGTCATCAGGAAAATGCAAAGTAAACCCCAAATGAGGAAACCATTTGCACTTACTAGAATGGCCAATGTTAAAAACACAAACTATACCAGGAAGTATTGCCAAGGATGTGTAAAGTTCAGAACTTTCATGTACTCCTGTGGGGAATGTAAAATGGTACAGCCACTCTGGAAAACTGTCAGTTTCTTCTAAAGTTTAATGTGTAGCTACTCTATTACTCAACCATTCTACTCTTATGTATTCATGGGAGAGGAGTGAAAGCATTTGTTCTTACACAAGACTTACATATGGATATCCATAGCAGCTACTTCATAATAGCCTCGAACTAGAAAGAACCCGAATGTCTCTCATCAGATGAATGGATAAATAAATTGTGGTATATTCAGGCAATACTTGGAGATAAAATGGAATCAACTCTCGATACATGCAACAATGTGGACGATTCTCAAAAACATTATGCTGAGCAAAAGAAGCCAGACATGAAAGAGTATATATAGTGTGTTATTCCATTTATGTGGAGGTCAGGAATAGGCAAGATTAATCCATGGTGATAGGAATGAAAACATTGATTATCTCTTGGTAGAGTGATTAGAAGGAGACATGAGGGAACTTTCTGGGATGTTGGAAATGTTCTGTATCCTGATTGGAGAGGTGGTTATGTGAATGTATATACATTTGTAAAAACTTACCAAACTGTGCACTTAAAACTTGTGCTTTTTATTGTCCATAAATGATACTTCAATTAAAAAAGAGAAAGAGAGAATGAGAGGAGAGGAAGCATAGAGAGTGAGTATAAGGCAACTGTATTGTGGGGGGTTGCTAGAAGGGATTTAGAGAAATAAGACAGTAATTGGAGGAGAAGCTGAGACAAAGAGTAAGCATGTTTGTGTGTGTCTGTGTGTGTGTCTATGCATGTGTAAGTGTGGGCATGCATAAGTTCCTGTGTGCACGTGTGTTTGTGTGTGTGTACTTTAATAGGAGACTTTGTAAGCTACAAAGCTTACTTACTACTTGTTTGCTACTCATGGTGATGACCCAGCAGAGAAAAATGGATCATGCAGAGAAAGAGCAGGGGGTAATTACAGTGCAAAGACCATTAGTATAAGACAGCTGAAGAAATGCAGGATGCAGAGAGCATCTTGGAATCAGGGAATAACTTTGTTCCCTTTGTCTTCAGACAGTTGAACCAGAGTCAGCGAGAGGAAGTCACAGAGAGGAAGATCTTGGCTCAGTATGAAAGGTTTCTTAGAGAGGTAGAACCATTGCTCTATCAGGCTACTGTGAGGGGTAGTGAGCTCTTTGTCACGGGGTGTGAGTGCTGCTGTAGCAGGAAACTCTAGCCTCAAATGAGGAAGAGGGAAGTTAGCTTGGTTCAGATTGCCTCTTGTCTCTGGGCTGTCCCACCCATGGGTCTGTGAATCCAGGAGCAGATGGATGGGCATGCAAGGCGGGACCCTGCTCCACCCTGCAAGCCTGACATGATTCCTTTCCTAATTTCTGCAGATGCTGGTGCATCGGTCTACTTCTACGAGTTTCAGCATCGGCCCCACTGCTTAAAGGACATAAAGCCGGCTTTTGTCAAAGCAGATCACTCTGATGAAATTCGTTTTGTCTTTGGAGGTGCCTTCCTGAAAGGCGACGTTGTCATGTTTGGTAAGGAACTGGCCTCAGCGGCTCCTGCCCTTGCAGAAACATGAGCTTGGGATTAGCTGGGGAGAAGACACTCCTCCCTACTGAGCACGAAGTCCCTTACCTGCCCCAACACTATGCAAGGGCCTGAGAGGACTGCTGGGTTGGATTTAATCTACTGATTACAGAGACAATCTTTCCCTAGAAAATGCCATCCACTAGCATCTTTAGAAACCAAGATGAAAAAGAGCTGCCAACAGTTGCTTGATGAGTGTTTCTCTTTGTACTAAAGCCTATTGGGGTGAGCAATTAGGGAAAATTAGAACCACTTTCTTCTTTTTCTCCTACCTCTGGTCTCACCTTCCCTGTGTAACCAAACAGTGGGTTTGTCTCTTGGTGCGTGTGGAGCCAAAAAGCACAACCAAGGCAGAAGTAGGTGAAGAAGGGTTTATTGCTTGCACAAGCAATGGGGAACAGCAGGGATCGCTCCCAAAGCACTGTTTTCCCAGCCCAGGTCCAATGGAGACTATACACAAGGGAGCAGAGGATAACAGGTTTATTTGTAACAAACACATAACAACTGTGTTTATCTAGGGCACATGGGTAGCAGGTAAACATGTTAGTATATACATCTCATGATCTAAAAATGGCTGTTTGGACCCTCCCAGAGGAGGAGAATTTAAGATGCCAGTGAGTTTAGATAACTTTAGAATGCTTGGGGTCTTGCTGCAAACATGTGAATTTCTCCGCAAGATTGCAACATCTGCGAAACATGGACATCAGTCTCTGCAAAACATGACACATAGTTTCTTCTTGTCTGAAAAACATTTGACAGATCTTGTTAGTTGTTGACCAGATCCTCAGTAACCCTTTCTTTGCCTGGTCACACCTGCACTTCCAAGAATACCCATGAGGCTATCACCTAGGGCTTTGAAAGGTAAGAACCATGTTTTTCATAATTCCAGCCCAAAGTGATCTGGATCCAGATGATCTATTGTAAATGCATGTGAACTGTTACTATGAGGTTAGTTCACTTATTCCTGAATTTATGACCTGTTCTGCGCCTAAAATAATAAGCCAATCAGATGAGGTTATCAATAGAAAAAATTATAGGAACTGCACATAGGAGGTTTTTGCTAAAATATTTAGCTAAAAAAATTAGACAAAACAGGGTCTTACCCAGTTCATGCTGGCCTCCTGACAATGAGGACAGAGCTTCTCAGATAGAGTATGAATTTATAGGCTTTACAAGTGACAATGTGGGACTATCTCCTAGATACAATTTTAGTAAAAAGAGAAAGGTGCAGAATACGTTTCCATATTATCCTGAGTATGTAAAAGGTATCTCCTTAAACACTTGCACATGTCTAGCCTGCCTTCGGAGGGTGCTCAAGAAGCTGGTAACAATCCTTGCCTCTGAGGCTGGGAACTGGGTGTCTGCAGGGAAGAGATGGGAGGGAAACTTATTTTCATTAGATTCCTTTCCTGCATTTTGGATTTTGTACTTTGAGCAAGTATTACTTTTTCAAGTAAAGAAATACAATAATTAATTAGTTCTTTGAGGGAGATAGAGCAATAGTCTCTGTCTCCGAGGCACTTGCAGCCTCATGAGAATGGCTGGAAGAGCACTGGGGGGACAGGGAAGACGTGTGTCCAGCCTCTGACACTTGGAAGCCAGGACTCCTTGGGCAAGTCATGGCTGCTCTGAGCCTCAGTATCTGCATGGACAAAATGAACACAGTGACTCGGTAGGCTGGTGAGGATCCAAGGGGAGGAGAGTGTGCAAGTGATTCGTCACGTGTGGGGCACCTCGGCGTCTGGGAATCATGGTGAGAGTCAGATTTTGTGATTATCTGCTTCAGAAGGAGCCACAGAGGAGGAGAGATTGCTGAGCAGGAAGATGATGCGATACTGGGCTAACTTTGCTCGCACTGGGTAAGAAGACCTCCTGGCTTCGCCCACAAGCAGGTGTCTGAGGATGAAAACCTCATCCCTTTTCTGCTCTCACTTCCAGGGATCCTAACGGGGAAGGCCTGCCTCTGTGGCCGGTCTACAATAAGACCGAGTGGTACCTGCAGCTGGACCTGAATGTGAGCCTGGGACAGAGTCTGAAGGAGCTGGAGGTGGAGTTTTGGACGGAAACCCTCCCCCTGATAATGTCCACTTCCGGGGCGCTCCTCAGTCCTCTCTCCTCCTTAGTCTTGCTGTCTCTGCTCCTGCCTGCCTTTTTCTATTTTGCTCCTTAAAGAAGTTATCTCCATGTGATTTCCATTTTCCTTCTCCTTCTGCAATTTCTCCTGCAATCATTAGCTTCATTCTAAGTTTAGCTACTTTGTGGAATCAGTTGCATTTGCTGATGTTTTATGGACTGGAGATGATTCTTAGGGAATTCTTTTCAACATCGAAAAATGCAGTTTGCCTGGAAGGGTACCAGATTTCTACAGTAAATCTGCAGAAGGGCTGGCCCATTATTGGGCATAATCATGATGTTGTTACTCATATGAAATAAATCATAATGTAAAATATACACAGGGGAAAGAATTTAATTCTGTGATGAAGACTCCCTGATTCACCCCCAGGATCCAGGATGAAGTAGATTTTCTATCAGGGAAGCTGTCTGTGTGTTACTGAAATATGAGTCCTCCAGCCCCAATCCAGGTGGGTTTCAGCCACAAGCCAAGCACGGATGTCCTGAACATCACTGGCTTGAGCTGGGCTCTTCTCTGGCTCAGGAGTTATGTGGGGGAGGGAGGCATGCTGGAGAGCCTCCTGCTCAGCGATAGAAGTCAGATGTCTCCAAGGTCAGGAACCCAGAAGTTGAATGCCAGGCAGCAAGGTCAGTTCAGGGACACCGAGGAGAAAAGATGTTTTTGACCCTGATGGGGTCGATGTTAATCCGTCATTCAATAGATCTACATTGGGCATCTGATGTGTTCCAGACACGAATGGTGAATAAAGAAATGCTCTTCACTAAATGGTTAGCAAACAGACAGAAAGGAAACATTCACACAAGCGAACATCTTATGATGTAAAATTGATAAGTTCGCCCAGGAAAAGTAAGGTGTTTTAAGAAAGTGTAGGGCCGGCCCTGTGGAGCAGCGGTTAAGTTCGCACGTTCCGCTTCTTGGCGGCCTGAAGTTTGTCAGTTTGGATCCTGGGTGTGGACATGGCACTGCTTGGCAAAAGGCATGCTGTGGTGGGCATCCCACGTATAAAGTAGAAAGAAGATGGGCATGGATGTTAGCTCAGGGCCAGTCTTCCTCAGTAAAAAGAGGAGGATTGGCAGTCGTTAGCTCAGGGCTGATCTTCCTCAAAAAAAAAAAAAAAAAAAGTGTAATGGGGGAACTGAATTTAGGTTGAAGTGTTAGGAGATTCTCCCTGAGAAATAATTTATATTAAAAAGGACTAACTAAAGTTACCCAGATGATAGGTGGGGAGAATGTTGTACATACCATCATTGAAAGGATGCACTCTCACTTCTTATATCCATATCATCCCTATTATATCCATGCCATCCCTATCATATCCATATCATCCCTATTATATCCATGTCATCCCTATTATATCTGTATCACCAATATAACGCCCGTATAATGCACCAGGATAATTAGTTTTCCTTTGTGATTGCCCCAGGATTACACATGAGGAGCACAGAGGATGTCAGTAACTTAGAGTCCTCTGGATCAGAGATCTCCAATCATAGCCTGAATCTGGCCCCCAGGAGTGTTTTGTTTAGCCCACACAATGTCAAAAATGCCTTGTAATTAGTTTCCAGCTAAATTTAAGTTAGGGAAATTTCACGTTACCAGCCATATTTCCAGCTTCTCCACCTTAAAAAATCTGGCCACATTGGAGTTGCATTCACGGATGGTAACCAGGGTTTCTGACAGCCCATACAGCTCTTTTGTGCAATTAGAGGGTGCCCTTCCCTCTAAACACTCTACAGACATCTTCCAGGAAACTGCCATTGATAAATGTCAACATCTATGATGTGAATGACACCTCTCTGGAGTAGTGCCCTCATGCAGTGCACATCCTGCACGACTGTTCCCAGTGATAACTGATCTACAGGAACTGAGTATTGGCTGCCCCTTTACAACGGCATGAGCTCTCAACTTTCCACAGTCCTCACTATTCCCTTTGTCTTGTGCCTGGCCTATTTCACTCACTGATATTACCTGATCCCTCCAGGTATTTAAGTTTGGACCCCTGACCTCTCATTTTACAGTAATCTGTGGAATGGTGAAGGGAGTCACCCAGCATCACTCACTGAGTTAGCAGCAAGTCCAGACCAGACCTTGAGTCTCTTGTTTCTCCAGAGCAGGACTCTTCCTGCCGAGCTGCCTGCCTCCCTCAGCAGATGGTCCAAAGCTGTTGATTGTCTCTGGCTTAGGTGGCTGTGGGAGGGGAGGATCGGGGATGCTTGGGGCACTGTAAGGCTCTAGGAAGAGAGACCAGACCAAGTGCAAGCAAGCTGGGAATTCAGTTTCCTCTGCAGCTGCAGAAAGCTAAGGTCTACATTGATATTTGGCAAAACTAACAGCTCGAAAACAACACATAACTCATTTAAAAAAATACCATCATACTAAATGACATTATACCTATGATTTATGTCCTTTTCAGTCCCAGCATCTTCAAATAAGGGTCTAAATTGAATAGGTGTCTTACAAGAGGGAGCATGTTTCTAAGTCATGCTGATACAGGGCCCTCTTCCATCATTGTTCCCGTCCACATGTAATCAGATGTTTTATTGAGTTGAAGTTGAAATATCAATGCCACTTGGCATCCTGCTTTTTCTCATTGAACTCAGGGTTTTCTGTGGGCTGTAAGAGGAGACTCACTTGGAGGAATTTCCTAAATTCCAATGCCCAGGACCCTCCCCAGTCCAACCGAAGCAGAATCTTCTGGGATGGGACCTGTAAATCCGTATTTTCAGTTTTCAGGCTTTCAATGCACACCCTGATTAAGAACTGTTGAGTGTTAACAATGTGGCATAAGCATTTTCCACGATGCTAGAGGGTTTTCCAAAAATCAGCTTTCATCTCTGCCTGATGAGGATCCATCACAATCTCTTTAGCCACCAGCTGCTCCTGGACACTCATGGGCATAATTTGATGAGCACTTTTGGGAATGAGTACTTTTACTTTTAAAATGATTTCTGGCATTGGAATTGCAGGAGAAGATGGACCGGGGCAAAGGTCATGCCATTTTCAAACTGTCTCCTTGTGTTCTACACATTCGCTTCCCTAAAGGGTCCCCTCACTTCATCCTCCTCAGCAACACAGGTGCTTGTATGTCAGTCGCCTCTGCTTTTCCATCATTGTAAAACATAAAATACTTAATTACTTTTATAGTGTATATTAAATAATTTATTTGTTCACAGAATATTCTCTCTTTCTTTCTTTCTTCTTTTCCAAACAACCTTGGGCCTGAATCACTAAGTCAACCAAAACAAACTTTGGAGACGACCCAAAATCAGTGTTTGCCTGTGAGTGTCGTAATGTCCAGCAGAGGGCAGCATTACAAAGGAAAAAAAGCTCCCCTCCATCTGAGGCTCCTGGGGTGCTGATGTGATGCTGTAGAGCTTGAACGGAAAAGAAAACCACGGGAAACAGCACCGTTCATCATTGTCCATGTTCCCTGTAACATCTGGAAAGGGGAAACGTACAATCCATCACCTGAAAAGTCTGACTGAAATGACTAGACTCACAGGCAGAACAGAGGTTGGGCCAGCAGTCTTTTTCTTTCCTAATTTGCCTGCCCCACCCCGAGGTCCAATTTGCCTCCCTCTGAGCCTGTAGCCCTGGCTGCAAGTCAGGGGCTTCCCCTGGGCAGAGGTGGGGAGGGAGGGAGGTGGGCTGAGGCCCTGCACCTGGGAAGCTGCCCTGCCTGGCGCACCTCAGGTAACACATCTACAGGGTGAGCCTCCCTTCCCCCAGCTCAGACAGACCCACCGGGTCATGGCCCTTGTGCTCTGCTGAAAGTATGTGTTAAGGGTGTGCCTCATGTTAGTCCCAGGGAAGGAGGAGCAGGGAGAGAGAACCTAACTTGGCACTTTCCTGGCCCATAAAAGGGAATTTGTTGACAGAGATATTGCTGTCTGTCTGGATGAACTGGAACTCAAGTTGGGGCATAAAGGATGGATAGGAGGATAAAGGCCAGGAGAGGTGTGGTGGCAGCATGGCCATGAATGTTCAGTGGTGGTGAGGGAGCTAGCCCAGTGGCAGCATAGCTGGTATTGACAAGTTTTCTGGAGCACCCTGATGGCTTAGAGGAACAGCTTTTATACCTTGACCTGTAGGAAACAGATTTCTTTCTTTACAGAGGGATCATTGATAATGAGTTTATCTCCCAATCTAGCTATCAGTCCATGTACCCATCCATCCATTCATCCATCTATCATCTAGCCATGTCTGTCCATCTACCTATCCATCCATCCATCTATCCATCCATCCATTCATCTATCCATCTATCATCTATCTGTTCCTTGATCCATCCATGTATCTATCATCTATCTCTATCTATCCACCTACCTATCTATATCTACCTATTATCTCTCTCTCTATCTGGGCCCCTTGATACAATTACACTCGAAACTCTCTTTACCTCCTAGACTTTTCATATACAAGAGCCAATGTATTAAAGATGTACTTTAGGTAAGTTTAGGTAGGATTCTTGTTCGTACATACAATAGAGTCCTGATGGAAATAATTGCACGTTTGACTATTTACATCTATTCTACTTCTATAATTTATATAGTCCTTGGTAATTTTATCTATAACAATCTTCTCTCCTCTATTAAATAATAAGTTCTTAAGATATGGTACAGGTACAAGTCTTTGAGCTTTTAGTGGATATAATACACAAACAAAAAAGTGTACATGTATATATATACATATATATATATATATATATATATATATATATGTATATATATATACCCTGTGTCTTTTGATTGGAGCATTTTGTCCATTCACATTTTAAGTAATTGTTGATGGATATGTACTTACTGCCATTTTGTTAGTTGTTTCTGGTTGTTTTTGTAGTTCTTCTCTGTTTCTTTCTTCTCTTCACCTGTTCCTTTGTGTTTTGATTTTTTTCAGTGTTATGTTTGAGTTTGGGCACGGGGCCCTCAGTGATATTCCTCCCTGCTGCAGATCACGGCATCAGGGGCGGGGTTCCCACTGACGCCATGTCTCCGTCTCTCCTACCCGTCTCTGTGTGGTTCCTCTGCTGCTTGTTGTGAAGAAGCTGTTCAATCAGACCTCAGTTCTTCTTCAGGAAGAATTGCTCTATGTGTAGGTGGAGGTTCAATGTGTCTGTGGAAGGAGATGATTGCAGGGCTTCCAATGCTGCCACCTTTGACCCTGTGTCCTCATTACTGTAAATTTCTTTGCTTAGTGTTACTACATGCAACAATTGATTTACAAAATTGCATTCCAGAAAATAAGTTACTCAATGGGAAAAGTGGACCATTGGTGGCCAGTGACTAATATAAATGCAAGAACAACCTTGTCCACCATCATG